TGATTGCTTGGACAATGAAGGACAATTTCTTTCATACTAGTATTATTGCATTATATATCAGCTACATCACTTGGTAAATAAATAAAAGAATATCCTACAGTATCGGACTATAACTATGAGTAGCACACGTTTGTACGTAGTCTACTTATATAGTGAAGAAAAGTTTGCTAGTTTCATGCACATAAATAGACTGTTTCTTCACGAATAAAAACTTCTATCTATCCTCTACCTTCAGAAAAAAATTCTGCTAATTTGATTGAAGAGTGACGAAGATATTCAAATTTTTCTAACTTTAGTGACTTTCCGGACACCCTATATATCGAAAAATCGCGTCAATGATGTGTAACGTGATAATGGGTATCTCATAATAACTGATGATAAATTGTTAATAATATTTTTTATATACTTTTTTTTGACATAGAGCACTGAAATTTGTATCACATATATATCTCATCAAGATGTTTTATCTCTGAAAATTGCAGTTCTCTAGCTATAATTATTGGTGAAACACATTGACAAGATTGAAATATTTAAATCTTCATATTTGATTTTTGCATTATTTTTACAGGCGAAATAAAATGCAAAAAACGAGTACGAAAATTTAAATATTTCAATCTTGTCAATGTGTTTCACCAACAGTTATAGCTAGAGAACTGCAATGTTCAGAAATAAAAGATCTTAATTAGATATATATATATGGTAAAAATTTCAGCGGTCTAGGTCAAGAAAAAATATGAAAAATATCATTAACAATTTATCATCAGTCATTATGGGACACCCTTTATATTTCGAGATCTTATTATTGAGTTTTGTCATAAGAAAGATACATATTGTAAGATTTATTCGAATTTTTGAACGATATACAGAATTACATAGAAAAGAAGGAATACTTGAACTATAAAATCAGAAAAAATTAAGACGACTTGAAACAAGTCTATGTATGTTTCTGATATAATTCTCATTCAAATTGCGAGTTTAATATCGAATTTTGATATTAAGTTCAAAATAAAGGATTGAATGTTGAAATATCTCTAGAACATGATCAAAATATTTTTCTCAGAAGAGAAAAAACGATAGTTTTTCTTTTTGATCATTTTTTCATAATGAAATCTCATTCCCGTGAAAAAGCTTGTTAGTGCAGCCCCTTTGGGACTGAAATGTGGAAGTCATATATGCTCTCTAGTCTCATTAAACTAATACAAAATATGTAAGATGAGAAATCTCTCGTAGACTATAGTTGTTTTGTAGGATAATCGAAAATCAGAGTAAGAACCTTTCTAATTTCTGTATTTCGAACAGAAATTTTTTTTTCCTACGGACTCCCTATTTTTATTTTGCATTATTGCTATTCGTTCATTACCTTTCATTTTTTTTGTTTTTGTTTTTCATGATTCAACATTCTTATTATAATAATCATTGAATTAATTGGCAAATAAATCTACTTTACATACCCATGATATCTACAGAAGATCTTACGCACTATTATATATATATATTAATCAGCTCATAAACAATGACGTTGATTATCTTTCAAAATTATAACTTGATCAATTTTTCAAAAAAACTAGAAAATCTGACGCCTGTTATTCTTAATTGCTAAAGTCTGTAATGGGGACCTGCGTTGCTAAATGTCTGTAATGAGGAGAGGTGGGGAAAGCCGTGAAAACTTGAGCTTAAAACTTACACTCAATATTTTCTTCGAAAATATATGAGAGTTCAACAAAACTAATTATAGAGCTAAATAGAGCAAGCTTCGTTCTTTTGAATCCTTCATAGCGCTAGGCTGTAGAATTCCAAATTTGTGTATGATTTTTTGAAATACTTTCAGCACTAATTTATTTGATAACGGTCTACAGACGTCATGTTAGTACACTGATGAATCACATATTTCTTCTCGAAAAAATCTTTTAATTATACATAGTTCGATGCAGCTTCATATGGGCTACAAGATTTTACGAGCAAAATTTCGTCATGAATGGATTAATAAGTGAAATAAAAGTTAGAATCCATGATGTGATTTAATTATATCATTGCAAAATCATGGGATTTTTGATGAAATAGTATGTTTAGTATTTCAACTCGTTCTTCATTATTTTAAATACAAGTCTTAACTTTTTTATAGACAAAACGATTCGCACAAAAAGCTCTATAAATCCTCAAAGTTTGGCGTAATTGAATGATACTTTCACAAATAGTGTTAGAAGACGTTTTACAAATTGTCAATTATTCTATTTGTTTTCTTTTATGTATTTCAACTTTTATTGTTATGTCTTGTTGTAAATCTGTCAAATTTTTTTTTCAAAAAAAAAAAAAATCAAAAGAGCAAACACGAAAGAATTATCTGACATGCACATTAAGAATACAAGATACATTATTGAAAAAGAACAACTAACAAATAGAATATTTAAAATAATTGAATAAACAAAACAAAAAATAAAAAATGGAATGTATAAAATCTTGAAAATATCTTATTGCTGGACGATAGTTGAGTATAAATTCTTTTACATCCTTTATTATTTCGATGAGTAATAAATTGTTGACAATCAGATGTTTCTAAATAGACCAAAAATAATTTGATGTTATTGGTTTTTTTTTTAAATAAATAATAATATTCTTCTTACGATAAAGATTAATTCTTCCATATTCAGATAGAAAGCCAGGTGATGTTGCATTAATATAATAATTACCTAAATCAGCTTGTTCAACATTAATAATTGTTAAACGTGATAGAATACAATCAGTACAAATTGACATTTCTGGTATTGTTGCTTCAATTAAATATTTTTGTGAATTCCAAATATCTTTATCATATTTCATATTTGGAAGACCAGCACTTCGTTCTTTACGCCAACTTAACAAAAACAAAAAAAAAACATTAATATTCATCTAATATAGAAAATAAAACTGGAATCAATCTTACGATATTTTTGGTGGAGGATAACCATAGACATAACATTCCATATAAACATCAACTTGAAAATCTGTTGCTTGATCAACTTCACGTTGACAATATATATATGGACGAACTAAAATGTAATAAAGTCATAAAAATCGAAAATCCATACAAGACATTTGATGTAATAAATATTCTTATGAATAATTAAGATTGAAATAAATAGTGTGTCTTCTACATCGCTTATATATAACAACAAATTCGGGCGTAGGGTGTGAATACTGATATGAGTCTTCAGTTTACCTACACTCACTTCCTTCTGGACGTTGGTCAATTCTTCATAAACATGCATCCATTATACCATACTAACAATGATTGAGACAATAAGAAGAAAGTAGACCTGATGAAACCTAATATTTCAAATCAATATGAATAGTATTCTATTTTGTACATAATCGGTATTCATTAATCTGTGGTTCTATTATTTAAAAATGCAGATTTATTAAAACATGAGAAGCTTATCTTAATCGCTTGTCATTACAATGAAATTATACAGAATTTTAATATTAATACCATTAGCATCCGATTTTTTTTTCAAAAAAAGTTTCGACACCACGTCTTGATGAGTTCCTCTCCGCTTCGAAGAACAATGCGTCGAACTTCCCACCCTCAGTAATTAATGTCTCGAAAAAATTAGAACTATCTAACGACTATCAAAAGTACCTATAGACCAAATTTCAGATCGAAATTTTCTGTTTTGAATTAGTCGAAAATTTCTTGCTCTCTGAAAAAGATTCATTAAAACGTCCATAACTTATTATTAGTAGGTCATAGACTCGAGTTCTTTTAAGCTATCTTATCTAACAGAATGAAAACTTGACTATACTCATTATAACATTTTTAAGTAAAACTTACATCTCACTGAAAGTTTTAGTGTCCATTCACTACCAAAACCAACCAAGTTACTAGCTAGATAACAAAAAAAAAGACAGAAAATTTATTTTATTTCTGTTTTTTTTTAAATAATAAACGTTTTATAAACAAACCAAGACATTTATAAATTCCACTATCTCTACTTGTCACATGATATAAATGTAATTGAGAGCCCTACAAAAACGAAAAAATAACAATGATACTAAAATTGATATAAAATAATTTTGAAAACAAAAACATACGACTTGTCGAATATGACCTGAACCAAGAGGTTGTGCATCTGCTTTTTGCCATTCTATATTTGGTGTTGGATATCCTAAAGAAAATCAATAATATTTTATTAATTTTTAATAAAAATCAGCAAACCTTGAGCATTACAAATAAGTGTAACAGAATCTCCATCATTGACTTCAATATCTTTTGTTGATGATTCAAGAACAACAGGTTCACCTAATTCAAAAATTTTATTCATATCAAATATTTTTACCAATATATTTACTCATTAATAACATTAAGAAAACGTGTTAAATATACATCTCGTAAATTAGTA